GTGTTTTCCCCATGGAGTATCTTCAAATTGTGGAAAACACAGCTGCAGGGCTAAGGAACCAGAAACAGTTTGAACAACCTCTTGGGGCAAAAGGGACAAAAAGCAGAATCCAGGTCCTCCCATGAAAGGGGAGCCTTGGTAAACACCCATTTGAACTGGACTCCAAAAGGTGACACTGTGACAATAAGAGAATGGGAATAGAGCCCCTGCAGAGACTGACGACCGTTCAATCTGTTTTAATGTGATCCAAGATTTCACGCACCCCTGCTGCCTGCCAGAAGCAAAAGTAAATCCTGTCTGCAAGAAAACACCATCCAGAGCAGTGTCAACAAACTCCTTCTCTGAAAGACAAGGCAGTAAATATTTTAGGCTTTGTTGGCCAGATGGTCTTTGACACATTGGCTTTGCCATATTGCAAAAGTGGTTTGGACGAGGAAAACGAGTAAGCATGGCTGTGTTCCATAAACCTTATGTACACACTGAAATGTGAATTGAACATTCACATTACAAATATTCTTCTGACTTAAAGAAAAAACACTGAAGAAGGCAAAACCCACAAAACCAAATACTAGGCTGCTTGAGGGCTCATGGGCTTTAAACTTGCAGACCCATGATCTAGAGTTTCCAAGATTTTTCTATTTTTCATATGAACCAAAAACACAAACCTATCTTTAAACCATCCTATTAGAGGGGTGCCTGGGTGGCTCAGTTGGTTAAGCGTCCGACTTCAGCTCAGGTCATGATCTCACGGTTCATGGGTTTGAGCCCTGCCATCGGGCTCTGTGCTGACAGCTAGCTCAGAGCCTGGAGTCTGTTTCAGAGTCTGTGTCTCCCTCTCTCTCTGACCCTCCCCTGCTCACGCTGTCTCTCTCTCTCTCAAAAATAAATTTAAAAAACATTAAAAAAATTAAACATAACATAAAACATCCTATTAAAAGTATATTCTAGGGTGCCTGGGTGGCTCAGTCAGTTAGGCAATTGACTCTTGATTTTGGCTCAGGTTATGATCTCATGGTTCGTGAGATGGAGCCCCGTCATATGTCCGTCTCTGGGCTGGGCATGGAGCCTTCTAAAGATTCTCAATCTCTCTCTCTCTCTCTCTCTCTCTCCCCCACCTCCGTCCCTCCTCCACTTGTTTACCTATGCACTAACATAAAATAAATAAAGTAAAATAAATAACATTTTAAAAGAGCACCAACTACAAAAGACTGATAAAGTGGACTGAAGTAAAATTAAGCATTTCTGTTCACAGACATCATTTATAGTGAAAAAGCAAGCCAGACTGGGAGAAAATATTTGCAGCATAACTCACACTGGGACTGTATTTTGTTCAGAAGACATAACTCCTGCAAACCAACAAGAAAATGACATCCAACCAACAGGAAAATAGGCAAAAAACTATGAAAAGGGACTTCACAAAACATATAGGTCATCAAAGGAGTGCGAGTAGGTCACAAGCTAACACTACATACCCACCTAACTAGTTATATTGGTGAGGCTGTGGAACAACAGCAATTAATATACTTCTGCTGGAAAGTAAACTGGTTCACTCACTCTCGAAAACTCTACATCTGTAGACTCTATCACCCAGCAACTCCGCTCCGAAGTATATGCCAACCAAATGCATGCACATGTAATCAAGGTATGTCTACAAAAAATCTTCATATTAGCATGATTTGTAATAGCCAAAAACCTGGAAACTACCTCAAGTGTCCATCAACCACCTTACAGTCATATGCTGGAATATTATACGGAAATGAGAACAAATGAATTATAGCTACATGAAACAATATGAAAGAATGTCAGAAACATAAATACATTCAGCAAAAGCAGGCAGACACAAAAGAATCTAATTCCATTCATAGGACATTCAAAAACAGGCAAAACTACACAATAGTCTTAAAAGGTAACATAGTAGTTCCCTTTTGGCAGGCAAAGAGTGTCATGACGGGTAGGGAGCCCCAAGGGAACTCCCAAGTTCCGGCAATATTCCAAGTCTGGATCTGGTTATGGGTGACACAGGTGTTTGCAATCTAACAATATATGAGGTGCACATTTATGTTTTGTGCCCCTTTCTGTACTTCTGTAGTATTTACATAAATGGTTAACAACAAAAATCTTTATATCCCTCTCACATTCCCCAAAATATTATTAAAAATTAAATCTTCCTAAATTAATGGTAAAATTTGGTTTTTCTAGTTGGTATACATAACTACATGCGAAGACGATATATTTACCTAATACTAGATATTTTCTTCATGAAATAAAAAATTCTCAGAGTGAAATAAAACAAAGCTTCCTTCAAGCTTGGAGATCAGCTATAATTACCAAACACATGAAATGAATGTGTGATTTTTGGTGAAGACTATCATTATAATATAAATACTCTAAGAATTCAGAACCATAGTTTTTAATAGTTTTTTTGGTGGCTATCTAAATTCTTTTACCATAGTGGATGTCAAATTAGGTTCATAGCAAAAAAAAAACACAAAAAATCCAAAAAAAAAAACCCTGTGTCTCATTATAGTAAATTAATGACAGGTTACCTGGTGAGTTTACTTTGTAAAACAATAAAACCTTAAGAACATCATCTAGAACAAAGCATGCAACTTACCTGAACTTAGAGAGGCATAGAACATTAAGACTGTTATCATGGAGGCTCCAGAAATCTCTCTCAGTGGCTTAAAAAACCATCACCAGAATTTTTAAATCAAATAAAACTTTCTATTACGATGTAATCTTATTTGCTGTAAGTATCCTTGAACTTTGTAGTTGTGAGCTCACATTTACTATTGCGAGAACTACTCAGTGATTTATTCCAATGGCATCATTATTATTAACCCCTCTTCAAAAAAATTCCTAAATTGAAGTTTTAGCAGCAAGTTTTAAAAAGGGAATTTCTTATCATTCATAATGCATGTGAAATGTTGCTGTGGACACTTTAAAAAAAAATTCTATGAGGCTATAAGGGTGTCTGTTGCAGCATCTTAACAATTTTACAGAACAAATTAGATGATGTGGTTTAAAGAGATGGTGACCAGCAAGATAATTTTAAGCAAACCCTTTCCCACATAAATGTCATGTTATCAAATATATAAATAACTAATACACTCCTTCCAACCTCATTCTAATTCTTAGACTTGTAAGGTGCATCAAAGTTATTATTCTAATTTTTAAAATGGGAACAAGAAAATGCATTTGCCACCTATGAACTTATGGAGGGGAAAAGAAAATATATTTGAGAGATGGGTACAGGATCAAAACTCAGTTATCTTTTGTTCTTGTATTTCTTTCTTCACTATGTTAAATTCTTCAGGCCTAAAACCCATAACAGATCGGGAAATTTAAAAAAGATGTTGATTTTTTTTAAGTCTATTATTAATCTTTATTCATGGAAATAAAGTAGCCATTAGCATTAAGTACATTTCCTAGGATGGTATACAATCATTTATAGGTTAAGATTTTGGCATTTAAGATATTAAACATTTTATAAATTTAATTATTAAAATATAATAATTCCAACTTGTGTCTTCAACTTTATATCGGCCATAATACTCTGCACAGCATGCAGTACCTGAATCCAAAGCAGGGAAGTGCACAAGCATCATGATAGCTTCTTTCTAAAGTTGCTCTCATACCCATTTTTGGACACTGAGTTAATGGTTTGAGAACTGCATTACACTGCATTTATAAGCAAACCTGAAGACTTTTATTTAGAGTAGCAGCTATGAATGCAGCTTTTTGATGGAGACTGAACAAAGTAGGGAAAGTTTAAGATAAAACAGTTATCTCTTAGGAAACAATTTTAATAGTTCAAAATCTCTCATAAAATCTTATTAAAATGGAGGCAACATTAGTTGAACATTTGACTGGTATGAAAATAACTCTCAGTAAGAATCTTGCCTAATAATTTGAGGTCCTGTATTATAATTTCTAGTTGCAGATGTAAATTTTGAAAGTATATGTATTAGGTCCAAGTGAACCAAATATGTAGTAGTTAGTGAGCGCTAGGTGATGCTTCACCTTTAAGTTCTTGAAAATGGAAAGAGTATACTTATGATTCCTTCATAAAAGTGTCCCTTAACCCTTCAAAGTAGCTTGGCTTATATCAGAAAGTTGCATATTCTTCAACTCCTATCCTTGTATTTTTACTTATCGTATCTAAGTAATCATGATGACAGTACTGTCAATTCTGCTTTGAAAAGATGAATATTGCTGCTCTTTGCAACTTTTACCTCAAGTTGAATCCTAGCTATCAGCAATACTTAGATGAACCCCCTCCCCGTCAAAGCAGTAAAAACTGAAGGCATTAAATTAGTATCTAAAATCAAAGTATAGCTTGATCTATAAAAATGATGTGTTGTAATCCTGACCTATGACAGCAAAGGTCGTATAAAACATATTCAGAGACTAATGTTATTATGAACATAAAAGGTTTAAAAGTTTCATATATATATATTTTTCCCTAATAACTTAAAAATCAATTTCTAAAAACTGGCTTACAATATCAGGCAGGTATCCAAATGCTGAGTTTTAAATTCAGCATTACCTTATCTCTTTTAAAGATAAGTTGTTATATAAACATTAAAAGTGCAATAAGCTAACCACAAAAGAAAACAAAACACCCTTGGTTTAGTATAACTAAAGTTAATAAATAAAGCAGAGCACTAAATGATGTAAAAACAGTCACCAGAATAGAGCTTCAAATAACAATGAATGAAGATTATACTGTAGCCCAAAGAAAGCAGCAGAAAAATCTCAGTAGGTTGTGTTCAGAGAATTTTTTTTTAACACCACTGTTCCACACTTCACAGGCCCTATCCTTTGACGAAAATCTATCAATACTAACTTAAGACCAAGAAACTCTGAATAGGAATTTAGCAAATGCTGTTTGGCTTAAGCCCAAGGTGATTAGGAAAGAAAATTCAGCCCACATGCTACAAAGCTTGAGTTAACTTGGAAAAATAAACACAATTATTATTGTGGCTACAGATCAAGAATTCACATTAAAAAAAGAAAGATTTGGCATTTAATATGGAAAGTTCCCTGTACATTCTAAAGGTATACTGAAAAGGCCAGTAAAGACAAAGTGATAATGACACAGTGATGGCTACAACAGCAGAAGCGGCGGTGACCAAGATGTACTCAGCTGTATGACATGACAGTCCACAGATGGACAGAGAAATATTCTGATTTCAAGAGTCAACTATATGACACCCTATTTGCCATCAGTCATTCAATTAAGATCACCAGGAAGTGCAAAGTGGGACTGGCAAAAACAGTTCTGCCAGGATTCAACTCTAAAGTCTTGACCAAACAAGAAAATTAGCTGACATTTTAAGTAGCCTCAACAAAGTGAAATGTAGGGTATTTCTCCTCTACCATTCATATTTTAACTTGCTTTCTCAGTCCTTAAATATAGTAGCTGGAATTTCTAAAGCTTCAAGACCATGCATTTCTTATTTACCTCCTCTCTGAATACAGTAAATACTAAACGTAACACAACTTGTAACAGTATCCCTTAAAACACTGTTCTGACACAACTCAGGATCTGCTTCTTGGCTTTTCAAACTGGTGGTGCTTCCGTGCTCGACACATACCTGCTTTTGCTTGTGGTGATCCGGTCCTTGGACAACCTATTCACAATGTAGTGGACTGTAGCTCTAAAGTCTACCTCATTTCTTAGCATCATTAGTGGTACTTTACCTGAATGTGGAAGAGGAGCTTCCAAGATGAACTTCCTAATAATACTCACAGCTGGAAATGGTTTGGAATGGTTGCTCACATTTTTAAGATCTAACTCAGCATACTTACTTACACAGAGGTAGTAGATGCCTTTGGTGAATCACAAGGACCACCCTAGTACAAGCTTCTCACAATGTGCTCACCAAATCTGAATCCGCTCCACCAATGAAAACAAATTGCAAGTTTGTTTCATAATAAATATACAATCAAATCTTACAATCAAATTATGAGTTATACCACCTAAATTCTGGAACAAAGATTTTGAAAACAAAGTTATATTTAGGAGCTATGTTCATGGTTTAAAAGTCATAAAAAATTTTAAAAACACATGAAAGAACAACAATGTAGTTAACATCTTGGTCCAACATACAGTGATATTATCACAACTCTTTTGTCACTGTAAGATCTGAATCAATTTCTATGTTGAGAAAACATGCATGCATCTACCATTTCTCTATCAAATACATACACACCTCATAGAAATACATCCTCATAGGAAACACTGATTTTACATTAAACTGTCTTTTTGAAGAAATTTTGCACTGAATTACAATAAAATTGGAACTCACTGTTAAAAACCTTAAATTACAGATGTTTATACAGAGAATTATAGTAATATACAAGAGCACTTCAATAAGACCTGGATGAACAATGTTTGAAGTAAAAGAGTTTTTATAACCAAGCTGTACGAACATTAGGGGGTTTAGGTCTTAGTAGCAGGCCACTGGATGTGTCAAAAACTGGTCGCTCGCTCTTACAACTGAGACCACTGGTGGCACTGGATGTTCTAGAAGCTCCTCCTGAAATATATGAAGAATAAGAAAGAATTTTATTTAAACTAAATACATCCATCATCACCTGATAAACTTCCTCTCCTAATTTAAGTCCAGAATAAATTTTTCTTCCCTATCTCATATGAATTCTTAATAGTTCAGTATGATTCTCAACCAGGAATGCATGTCAGAATTCCCTGTGGAAATTAAAAATATAATAATAAACATGCCCGGACTCTACACTAGACGGTTTGGTTTAGATTTGGGATGGACACGTGTTTTAAAAAGCTGCTCAAGGGGCACTTGGGTGGCTCAGTCGGTTAAGCATCCGACTTCGGCTCAGGTCATGATCTCATGGTTCGAGGGTTCAAGCCCCGCGTCGGGCTCTGTGCTGACGGCTAGCTCAGAGCCTGGAGCCTGTTTCCGGTTCTGTGTCTCCCTCTCTCTCTGACCCTCCCCTGTTCATGCTGTCTCTCTCTCTCTCAGAAATAAATAAAACATAAAAAAAAAAAAAAAGCTGCTAAAATGATTCAAGCAAAAAACCAAAACACTTTATATAATGATTTATACGTTTATGTAGGAAATAATTTACCACATTCAAGGCATAATACCAAGTATGAATTATTGGATTAAGACCCTATCTTAGTCACTGACTATACCATGGAAGTGATGCTTGAAGAATGAAATGAATGAATGAACTCACTAGTCATTTGAGTGTTTAAGACTCACAAGAGCACTGGAAGTTGGGACATCACAGGTGGTTCCAGTTTTCTTCTAATATTGGCTTCTGTTTTTTATAGTTTAGAACGTACACATGGAACATCAGCACAGACTTGCTGTGTCACACACCTTAGCACTAAATGGCCGTTCCATGCTACATTCTGTGGGACACACCACCAGCTGGATGTGTGTTGACCACAGATCAAGCATTAGGAGGGCCTGTGTCTGATGGCTCTACAGACTGCTGATTCATTGGTTTTAACCAGTGAGGAAGACAAAGCACATATAGGGTCTAGAAGATATTACCAATAATTAGCTCATTAGGGGGAATGTTCTGGCAACTATTCAACAGCATTATCTATTCATTCTTCCTTTTAATAAATGTAATAAAATGCCTATTACCGAAGACAGTACTGATATTTTCCATTATTCTATCTTCTTGTTTTTTTTCCTATGCTACCATTACATGCTGTGAGTGAAACCTGAAGTTGAGTGAACACGAGACAAAGCGCACTGGTGAAAAATAAAAGAATGCATTCCAGAAGTCAGCTATTTTAAACTCTATCCAAGTACCTAAGTTATTTATTTTTTAAAAAGGATGAAATACACAAGTACAAATCAATTCTGAATATGCTTACTTAGTGGGGTATACTGGCCAAGAGTTGATCTCACTCGTCTGGAGGATGGAGATGAGCTGAGATAACCCATATTGCGATGGTAGTCCATCAGTTGTTCAGAGCGTTTCATACCAACTGTTGGTTTCACAGATTCAAGCCTTTTCAATAAAGCCTTCATTTAAAGACAATCAATTTGAAAGTCAATGTTAGATAAGAATAAGTTCTAGCAAGAACTCAGCAAAACCTCAGTTTTTAACAAGACAAATACTTAAAATTTTTCATTCCAGTACACTTAACCATAAAGTGTTCTATTAGTTTCAGGTGTACAATATAGTGATTCACCTATTCTACATGTTATTTAGTGTTCATCATGATAAACGTACTATTAATCCCCTTCACCTATTTCACCCGTCCCCCAACCTCCCCTCAGGCAACCATCAATTTGTTCTCTATAATTAAGAGTCTGTTTTTTGCTTGTCTCTTTTTTCCCTTTGTTTGTTTGGTTTCTTAAATTCCACGCAGGAATGAAATCATATGGTATTTGTCTTTATGTGACAGACTTAGCATAATACTCCCTAGCTCCATCCATGTTGCAAATGGCAAGATTTCATTATTTTTAATGGCTAAGTAATATTCCATTGTACATATAACACACCTTTCTTATCCATTCATCTATTTGATGGGCCCTTGAGCTGCTTCCATAGTTTGGCTATTGTAAATAATGCTGCAATAAACACAGGGGTACAGATATCTCTTCAAATTAGTGTTAAATCAGTAAATATTTGAAATTTAGGAAATAAAGATTTTTAAAACACTTTTGAAATACTGTATGAAAAATATTTCAAATAATATACTTTCAGAAAAATCCAAGGGTTTGGGGCACCTGGGTGGTTCAGTCGGTTTAGTCTCTCTGACTCCAGCTCAGGTCATGATCTCATAGTTTGTGAGTTTGAGTGCTGCATTAGGCTGTGTAATGAAAGCTCAGAGCCTGGAGCCTGCTTCGGATTCTGTGTCTCCCTCTCCCTCTTCAAAATAAATAAACATCAAAAAAATTTTTTTAAGAAAAATCTAAGGATTTCACCTATCCGATAAAAACAGTATGGTTTTAACGACTGACCACAGGCACATCTCTTTTTTACGTCAGGTTACAATCTTCAGAAAGGTACTATAAGTGAAAATACATTCAACCTGATTTTCTCAGAGAATGGACCTATATTTACTAATATAATGCTAAAAGCCCAGTGTGTTCAACCGTGGGTTCAAGCACAAACCTATCCAAGCTACTATAAGCTCTATATATGAATACAGAGCACTGGCTTTCAAGCTGTTTACTTTCCAGCTGTGCCCCAGCTGGACACTGAGAGAGGTCAAGTGGGCAGGCCTCTCAGGTCCCTGCTCCCAGTTTCTACCAGTCCATCTATGCTTTCCATGTTTCCTGTTTCATATACTAAAGATTCTTCATAAAATCTAGTTTGGAAAAAAAAAAAGTTTTTACTCTTAAGAAATCTGAAAATCACCTATTGTAACTTTTATTTTATTAAAAAAATTTTTTTAAATTTATTTATTTTGAGAGACAGAGAGAAGTGAGGAGGAGAAATCCCAGGCAGGTTCCATGCTGACAGCACCGAGCCTGATGTGGGGCTTGAACTCATGAACTGTGAGACCATGACCTGAGCTGAAACCAAGAGTCGGGCACTTAACCAAGTGAGCCACCCAGGCGCCCCTACTATAACTTTTAAATGGATATATAAACCAACTAGCCAAGACAACATAATACCCAATAACATGGTGTTTTCTTTAATATGATTCCCTAACAGAATCTAATGTGTAACATTCCTAATTTTATTTTCTTTCCTCATATATTTGAAGATAGGAAGTTTCTTGTTTCATTTTCACAGGCATTGTTGAGAAGGGAATATTTAAGCAGACCAAATGGATCAAGGAATTGATCCATGGATGTTTTATTATCTCCTTATTGAGTTTAACTATCTCTGTAGCAAGTCGATCTTCATTTGAAAAGAGAATGCTTGTTCAGCACTCAGATTCCCATTAAAAAATCAGCCTCCTGAATTCAGTCACAAGACAAATTTTTTCTGCACAATCTTTTTTTTCCTTCTGCCTCAACTTAGTTTTCTTTTTATTATGGCAAAGTATCCATAAAATTCACCATTTTAGGCATACAATTCAGTGGCGTTTAGTATATTCACATCACTGTGAACCATCACCACCAACCAAATCCAGAACTTATTTTCAACTTTGTGTTTGCTCTAATCAGTTTCACCCGCACCCTTCTATTCTGACTGGTGTCCCGATTAATTCCAGAGAAGTGATAGATGGTAGAAGAACAAGTCAAAATACTGCAGAGAGCTGTTAAGAAAAGGGAGAAGGAAGGTGTCACAGAAATAAAGGGAGCCTGGAGACAAATGGCAGTAGTCTAGAGCACATGAAGCAGGACACTGACCGAGATCTCAGCCTGCCAGCTCTTTTCTGCATGAAATGACCTTTCTCAGTTTTTACCTTCCAAGGCCACAGCAGACCTAATTCCCTCAGAAAGCCAGACTCAACTAGAGTTAATGCAAATTTTCTTTGCTAAGCTGACACTTATGATTTAAACATAGTTCCATCTGTAAAGTCTATGGTCTTGCCATCAGAGCATGTGGTCTTTCTCTCACTGTACATAGAGAAGCTGTATAATTTAGGGGCAACCCCCCCTAAGATTTTATCTTTTCTACCTACAGTCTGTAACTGCTCTGAGCTAATGTAAAACACTGGAAGGATAGAAGAAAACATAAAATACTGCCCTGTAATTTATAGTTTGGATAAGAAGATAATACTACTGCATGCCTGAGTGAGAGATTTATAACTGAGTAAGAAATTTCCTATGCATCACACTGTGTATTTTGCTAGGAAGGTATCATTTGCTGTCATCTGATTATCCTATTAACTACCCTCTGAGCTATGGAGGGGGAGGGGGGAGTAGACAGGACAGAAAATTTGATATTTTCAGTTAACTACTAATTCTGTTTTTTGATAGTAGAAGCCTATCTTTTAGATAAATTAATTTCCTAAATTTATTTATTTGGCTAGATGTTTCTTTTTAAAATTTTAATAAAATTGCAGTGCTTATCCACCAGATGTAAAACATAAAGTAATATGATCACAATCAATTTTGAATTTGACAATAAGGCAAAGAATAAACCCATTCTGTTGTCCTGATATGTCACTTATCAAGTTTACATGCAGAAATTTTGGGTCTTCGAGAGAGAAAGAGAGAGAGAGAGAGAGAGAGAGGGAGGGAGGGAGGGGAGTGGGTCAGCTTTCCAATCACATGGAGCCATACCACTGGTGTGTCATGAATATAACAAGCTAAGCAGAAGCTACAGGGATGATTTTAAATAGAAATAGCTCTTGCTTTTAGAAACTATGAAAATATGAAGTACTGATAACTGTAAACTGTAAAATCAAAAGTAGATTCATTTTAATATAGTAAACAATTGAGAACTTCTGGGTAAAACTTAAAAATGACAATTCAAAATATTCTGACATTCGTATCAGAATGAACAAATATGTAAGCTATCTAATCAGAAAAACCTGGATTTAAATCCTGGCTCTGCCCCCGATTATATGACCATATGACTTGATTTGGGTATTAACAATGAAATAATCTCTAAGAGTCAGTTTTAAGCAGTAAATGAAATAATGTGTATAGAATGCTCACAGCAGTACCTGGCATTTGGTACAGATATATTAAACATTAATGCTATCATTGACATTGCTTTGTATTATTTTCTAGTTTTCTAACATGCAATAGTATTATCTTCCTAAATTATAAAGTATATGACATGGCAGTATTTTTAGATATTTTTATATTCCTTCCAGTGTCTTATAGATCATAGCAGACATTAAACATGTTTCACGAATTGAGAAATGGTAAGAATGGCTACTTATATTCCAATTTGTGTTTACAAAACCTTAGAACTTTCAATCTTAGAATCTACTACTCAAATCAGATTCTTTTTTTTCTTTTGTAATTTATTGTCAAGTTGATTTCCATATAACACCTAGTGCTCATCCCAAGAAGTGCCCTCCTTCATACCCATCACTTGCTTTCCCCTCTCCCCCACCCCCATCAACTCTCAGTTTGTTCTTAGTATTTAAGAGTCTCTTAATGTTTGCCTCCCTCCCCTCCCCCATGGTCGTCTGTTAAGTTTCTCCTATTACACATATGAGTGAAAACATAGTATCTGTCCTTCTCTGCCTGACTTATTTCACTTAGCATAACACACTCGAGTTCCATTCACGTTGCTACAAATGGGCAGATTTCATTCTTTCTCATTGCCGTGTAGTATTCCATTATATAGATAAACCACATCTTCTTGATCCATTCATCAGTGGATGGACATATAGGCTCTTTCCATGATTCAGATATTGTTGAAGTTGCCACTATGAACACTGGGGTACATGTGCTCCTATGCATCAGCACTCCTGTATCCCTTGGATAAATTCCTAGCAGTGCTACTGCTGGGTCATAGGGGAGTTCTATTGTTAATTTGAGGAACCTCCACACTATTTTCCAGAGGGGCTGCACCCGTTTACATTCCCACCAACAGTGTAGGAGGGTGCCCATTTCTCCACATCCTCGCCAACATCTAGAATCTCCTGATTTGTTCATTTTAGCCACTCTGACTGGTGTGGTTATCTCAGTGTGGTTTTGATTTGTATTTCCCTGATGATGAGGGATGCTGAGCATCGTTTCATGGGTTTGTTGGCCATCTGGATGTCCTCTTTGGAGAACTGTCTGTTCATGTCTTCTGCCCATTTCTTCACTGGATTATTTGTTTTTTGGGTGTGGAGTTTGGTGAGTTCCTTATAGATTTTGGATACTGGCCCTTTATCTGATATGTCATTTGCAACTATCTTTTCCCATTCTGTTAGTTGCCTAATAGTTTTATGGATTGTTTCCTTTGCCGTGCAAAAGCTGTTTATCTTGATGAGGTCCCAATAGTTCATTTTTGCTCTTGATTCCCTTGCCTTTGGGGATGTGTACAGTAAGAAACTGCTGTGGTTGAGGTCAAGGAGATTGTTTCCTGCTTTCTCCTCTAGGGTTTTGATGGTTTCCTGTCTCACTTTCAGGTCCTTCATCCATTTTGAGTTTATTTTTGTGTATGGTGTGAGAAAGTGGCCTAGTTTCATTCTTTTGCATGTTGCTGTCCAGTTCTCCCAGCACCATCTGTTAAAGAGGCTGTCTTTTTTCCACTGAATACTCTTTCCTGCTTTGTCAAAGATTAATTGGCCATACATTTGTGGGTCCAATTCTGAGTTCTCTATTCTATTCCATTGGTCTATGTGTCTGTTTCTGTGCCCATACCATACTGTCTTGATAATTACAGCTTTGAGGCAGAGGCGAAAGTCTGGGATTGTGATGCCTCCCAGTTTGGTTTTTTTCTTCAATATTACTTTGACTATCCGGAGTCTTTTGTGGTTCCACACAAATTTAGGACTGTTTGTTTTAGCTTACTCAAATCAGATTCTAATAATGAATCCCAAAATAGTTTGTCCAAATATTTTTTTCTATTTCGGAAGTATCATTCTTTTTGGAAAGAAAACTAACCCAGCCTGAATCCTGTCCATCTCTGGAAATAGAAAAGTTAAAACAAATGAATGAATAACGTGTTAATGATTTCTGCAGTTGTCAGCAGACTGGAAGTGCTTCATTATTTCTAAAGTGATAAAGCAAAGACCTTGAAGGACATTAAAGAGTAACAAACATCCTATAGTCTCTTTTGCCACTTGTGCATGAATTAGTTTTTGATTTAGAGCTGAAATGTCCAAGGCTACTATCCACTGAGGCTACACAGCATTTGAAATATAGCCAGTCCAGACCGTGATAAGCTCTAAATGGAAAATGTACGACAGATTTCAAAGACTTAGTACCCCTCCAAAATAATTTCATCATTAATTTTTTTATATTGGTTACACTTTAAAATGTAGTATTTTGAATTTATTCAGTAAATAAAATAGTTTATCGGAATTTCATTAAAAAAATTTTTTTAATGTTTATTTCTGAGAGACAGAGCACAAGCAGGGGAGAGGCAGAGAGAGAGGGGGACACAGAATCCAAAGCAGGCTTTGGGCCCTAAGCTGTCAGCACAGAGCCCAATGCAGCGCTCGAACTCATGAACCGTGAGACCATGACTTGAGCCAAAGTCATGGTCCTAACTGAGTGAGCCACCCAGGTGCCCCAAAATCTCATCTTTCCTTTTGACCTCTATTACTAGAAAATTTTTAATTATACATGTGACTCACATTATATTTCTACTGTTCTCAAGTATACTAAGTAAGATCTTCCTATGAAATGGGACAAAAATACTGCTCACATATACAAACTACTATGTATACAAAGTAAAAACAGTAAAACAATGGTAATTTTCCATTGTTTATTAAAATAGCTAAAATGTACAACTGATTTCAGGGATGACAGAAGCTGTAAAAAGAGGCTGCTAATAGTTTTCATCCTAATCATATACAGAATAGTCACTATACACTAATGGTTTCAACTGTTCAAAAGTAAACCCAGGTTCTGCAAAAAGATATACATAGAATTGCCTTATGATCCAGCAATTCCACTCTTAGGTATATGCTCAAAGGAACTGAAAGCTGACACTTGAAAAGATATTTACAATATCAGTATTCATTACAAAATTACTCACAAACAGCCAAAAGGTGGAACTAACCCAAGTTCCCATCAACAGATGAATGGATATTCAAAAGGTGATGCATACATATAAGGGAATATTATTCAGCCAGAAAAAGGAATGAAGCTCTGGTACATGCTACACATGAATGAACCTTAAAAACATTATTTGGAGTGAAATAAGCCAGACATAAAACCACAAATTATTGTCTTATTCCAATTATATGAAGCCTAAATTAGGCAAATTCAGAGAGACAGAAGGTAGATTAGAGGTTTCTTGAAGGGAAGGGGGGAAAAGAAGGTTATTAATAGGTACAGGGTTTCTGCATGGGTGACGATAAAAGTTTTGGAAATAGTGCCACTGAAGTGACCACTTAAATCAGGTAAAATGGCAAATTTTACATTATATCTGTTTTACTGTAACTTAAAAAAATTAACAAGACACCAGAACCCTAAATGATTATGGTATGTGCACTGTATCTCGAAAAGCTGTTAAAAAAAAGGTAACCCCAAAGCTAGGTAACTTGCATATGACTCTGCTACCTGCTAGCTGTCTGACCTTGAGCACTCCCTGTGTCCCACTGTCTCATTTGTTCCTCCATGACAACAGCAATTACGTCATTAGGTTGCTATGAGGATTAAATGACCTAAACTTTGTAAAATAGTATGTACTATGAACTACTGTTAAATAAAATGGGCTCCAGAGTCATGTGGGAGAGTAAAAATAAACAAAAAAGGTAAACCCAAATGTTCATGACATAATTTCAAAATTTCCTAAGTCATGAATGAATCTTAAACAATTGCCACAGTCCTGTGCAGAAAGCTACCATGTAGCTCACTGCCCACAGCCTCATTTCAGCTTGCTCTGTTGCTACCTACTCGCTGCCACACGCAGGGTAACCCTCCCCAAGGGTTTAAGACTTTACCGGTCCTTGTAAATACACCATCCCAGCTCCCCAGCTCTTGGGATTAGTGATGGAAGTAAAAATTTTTACCAGGGTTGGTACAAGTTCAAGTAAGCACATGGTCAAATAGGACTTTATGGGTGACAAAATATAATGAGGCTGAATTCTGCAAACCGTTTTAGTAATTTTAATAATAGCTTTATTAATTATTTTAGCTCTGAATTTATGACACCACTACGGTCTAATTTTGGTTTAGGACACCACCTGTATTTAAAGTCTTTAAAGTCTTGGCTCAGCCATTTACTCAGTAGCTCTGTGTCCCTGGGCTAGTTATTTAATCCCTTTAGGTCTCAGTTATGTCATCAGTAAAATGTGGATAAAAACAGTACCTACCTGAAAGAATTATTGTCAGAATTCAATACGCTAACATTTGGAGACACTTAGAACAATGCCTGGCATTTAGTTAAATGCCCAGTAAACACCTGCAATTGTTATGAATGGAGTTTTATGAAGAAAATGGTATGTTATGAATAATAGTTTTAGTATGAAGATTTTCAACAGTCCATATACTCCTCACAAAATCACAGTTTAGTTAATGATTTTTAATAATCAATGTCTTTCATACATTCAAGTAGCAGATTACCAAAATTTGACCTCTTTGAGATGTATTTATCCTTTAAAATAAATAATATGTAAATTATTTTGACTTCCAAGGCTACAATAAAGTGAAATAGATTTAGATTGTGACTTAATACTTCACAAAAGATACATGTATCTGATCACTGAAATACCATTTCCTATGCTACTGCAGAGATTTAACACACCTAGCCAAATATATATAAATACAGCTTTTCAATAATTTCATCTAACATTCCCTCAAAATCTAGCTTGATGACCAAAAGAAACCCACAGAAAAACCAAAAACCCAACCACCTACTGTATCTTCCAGCTCGTGGCTCATTATGTATTTCACTCCATATATATCCATGCTTACCTGTATATAATTAAGTATGAAAATGTGGCTGTATCTGGTTTCCTGTAAGTTGGTCTTATAAATCATTACCATTTATTTTCTTTGATGACTAAAAAATTTTAGTTACTTACCAAATTTTCTCTTTCAATCCTTTGCTGTTCCCTCTGCCTGTTGAGGGCACTGTGATATAACTTAGGGGGATGAACAATCGATCTTCTAGGTATTGTACTTCTGCTTCCTGACTTTTCAGCCTGTCTTGAGAGTTCTTTCAAAAGCCTCTGATTTTCCCTATCAATTTGTCTCACCTCCTCTCTTGTGAAAGAGTAGTTTTTCCTTGGTGCTACTGAAGGCTGATCAAAGTGGTGTCTCTGTGGTCCTTTTTTATCTAATTGCAGAAAAGCTAAAGTGAACAAGGAAAGAGAACTGAACAAGGCACACGGCAACATGATGGCACATACTATACACTAAAGCTGTAACTCTCAGAAATGGAAACTATGTTAAGTCATGAAAAGGTATGTATGAAATAGTGTTAATGATATCCACACTACAATTATGTAGAAAAAAAAATCACAGGCAGTCTAGAGTTTCACATTCTGATGGTTCTTTGGAAATAAAACCTATACATTCAACTGTGAAAATATTTTAATAAGAACTGTAGATGGCATGAGTTTTAAGGAAGGTATAATTTATGGACAATGCCCTTGTCATGTCCATTTTATGTTTCCCTAAAGCAGCTTAGTAGTTGGGGAGGTCAGAAACCTCTGGTTGAGTGCACCAAATACACTGTAATACAGTACTTCAATTGAGGCAGTTTGTGGATTACAGGGCACACTTAGAAAATAAAATGTCCTCAGGGTTCCTGGCTGGCTCAATAGGTAGAGGGGATTATGACTCTTGATCTTGGGATCAAGCCCCACACTGGGTGCAGAGATTATTTAAATAAATAAATAATCTTAAAAGTAAATAAATAAATAATAGATAAGATAGGTAGACTGTGTACTCAGCAATGACTGACGGGAAACAATGGTTAAAAACTGGGGAAAAACAAACCCAGAATATTCTGAAACTTTCAACTTAATGTGAAAATACTTTATGATCTTGATATTAAGACAAATACAGTAAGTCAAGTATTTCATTCATAATTAAACACATGCCAAAATAAACACATTATATAAAAGGAGTTTTAAACCAATAAAAATATTTTGCACAGTACTGTTACCAAGTGAAATTTTATCAACATGTTAAATTTCCATATTTTAACAATTTTCTGTAAGTGACAATTGTTACTAAACATTTGTTATAAGTTTCTAAAAATATTAAGCTTGCTAAATGTTTCGGCTTAACTCTGTACTAGCCATGAGTAAATTATATCAGATTAACTGACTGGAACCTTTGATTTTTTTTTTTTACAGTATTTTTTTAAAGTAGCTGTTATTTATTTTTACTTGAGTACCTTTAATTCTTTAACTTCCTCAGCATTTTACACTGTTAAATGCACAGTGCTATAAGAGGAAAAGATATTTTTTTAACACATTTTAAAATGTATCTGGTGCAGAAAAGTCAAATTATTTGAACATGGTCAAAAGAACTAGAAGTCTACTTCCTACATTTTAACTAAAGACTATCAAAGATTACAGAAACTTTAAAAAAAAAGATTAACAGTGGCTTTCTGATAGGAAAAAATTGTTGAAAATCAATCATACCAAGTTAATGGCAAACCTTGAACATATTTAGAAAGATATAGGTACACTGTACATATTATCTTGCTTCCAAGAAATGTACATTTTTTAGAATTGAATAAGGTTTCTAGATTAAATATGCCACACATGAAAGCTTTTAAAATTAAATGTGAAAGGGAATTAAAAGCTATTGTCTGAATGGCATTTAAGAAAGTTGTTAGGGGGCACCTGGGTGGCTCAATCCGTTAGGCCTCTGACTTCTTGCTTTTGGCTCAGGTCATAATCTCGCAATTTCATGAGTTCGAGCCCTGCCATGGGCTCTGTGCAGGCAGCATGGAGCCTGACTGGTATTCTCTTTCACTTGCTCTCTGCCCCTTCCCCACTTGTACTGTCTCCGTCTCTCTCAAAATAAGTAAAACTTTAAAAAAAAAAAAAAACTCTTAAAAGTTTTTTAGAAGTAAAATAAGGTAATAGCAAAACAATAAGTAGAAGAAAGGAAGTTCAATCTAATGCATTAAAAACAATTGTGCTGTAATGCTCCATGATGGGAAAAGTATTTATGGAGTGCTCATAGCTCATATACTCATACTAGTTATCACTAGTACATTTTTTTAAAGTGGCTATATATGCTTTACTATGAGACAAACTCAAATACTTGATCCTTTTTCTTTTTTTAAAATTTGTTTAATGTTTTATTTATTTCTGAGAGAGAGAGAGAGAGAGAGAGAGAGAGGCAGGCAGCATGAGCAGGGGAGGGTCAGAGAGAGAGGGAGATACAGAATCTGAAGCAGGCTCCAGGCTCTGAGCTAGCTGTCAGCACAGAGCCCGACATACGGCTCAAACCCACGAACCGTGAGATCATGACCTGAGCTGAAGTGGGATGCTTAACTGACTGAGCCACCCAGGTGCCCCCAAACAGCATTTTTTAAAATTTTACATGTGATGCTATCACTGGAAATTTTATTCCAACCATATTAAGTCTTTACTCATATAATATTAGTTCTTTAAAAAAAAAATCCTGTGGGCATATTCATGACCCCTATTAAAAAAAAATGGTATTTTCTTTTTAAAGTTATTTTTTAGGAGTGCCTGGGTGGCTCAGTCTGTTAAGCATCCAACTTTGGCTCAGGTCATGTTCTCAACAGTTCGTGAGTTCAAGCCCCACATCAGGTTCCACACTGATAGTGTGGAGGAGGCTTTATATTCTCTCTCTCTCTCTCCCCCCCCCCACCACATGCATGCAATCTTTCTCTCAAAATAAATAAACTTAAAAAGATAAAAGTTATTTTTTAAAGGTTTAAAGAAAAATCCAACACTTGTAGCTGAGAGGTCACAATTCAAAGAATAAAAACTGAATTTACTAAATTTCTTTGTCTTCTTCATGAACTTGTCAGATGAGAAATTCTGTGACATTCTTCCAGTCCCCTTCTTTTGAATCTAGGCAGGCTTGTGACTGTGTGGACCAGAACAATACAGCCAAAAGTGTGGCTTCCAAGGCTAGGCAAAGGAAGAGATGTACCCCCATCAAACCCCCAACCTGGTTTGCTGGGACACTTTTACTTGGGGCCCTGAACCACCCTCTGTGTCTAACTAGCCTGAAGCTGCCATGTTGTGAGGAAGTCAAACCACATAAAGGGGCCACATAAATGTGTAGGCATTATGATCCTAGTCTTTTAACTCATCCTAGGTTACTGCTTTTACACATCTAAGTTTTGTGTTTCATTAGCAGAGCAATAGTAACTAATACAACATTTAGTACCAGGAATGGGAGTACTACTACAACAAAAACCTAAAATACTAGCTTTGAGACCAGCTGGCATTAGAGCTGGAAGAGTTTGGAGATTGTTTTAGCAATACTGTTGCCTGTGATGACAAGGAAAATGGAAAAAATACCTGCCACTGGTGGATTTGGCTAAGTAGATCCCCACACAGGATGCTGAAAGTTATCAATGGCTTATCTTATCCATAATAATGAAAAAGGAGAGAGATGAGCTAAAAACAAGGAACCAATCAGTTTGGAGTTAAAACATACAATATAGGGGCGCCTGGGTGGCTTAGTCAGTTGAGCGTCCGACGTCGGCTCAGGTCATGATCTCATGGTTCGTGGGTTCGAGCTCCGCGTCGGGCTCTGTGCTAACAGCCAGATCAGACCTGGAGCCTGCTTCTGATTCTGGGTCTCCCTCTCTCTCTCTGACCCTCCCCTGCTCTCGTTGTCTCTCTCTGACTCTCAAAACAAACATACAATATAGAAGAACTAGGCCTTATGGGATTCAAAAATACAACTACCACTCCTTCCTAATCTCTCCTGGCAGAATACCATCCCAGTACTCAAAGAGCTATGACTAAGGAACCACGAGTGAGGTTCAGCTGCACCTAGACCTGATTTAGACCCTCGAAGTCAAGGTTGGGCATGGAGGATCTTTGAAAAGGGGGAATGTATTTTTTTATGTTTAAAGTAATGTAAATCAACGTGTTGGATTGAAGAGGTTTTCAAACATGTCCATAGGCTACCTGACAGTCCTCCCATTAGGAAAGAGGGTATATGTCCCTCCCTCTTAAATCTGGGAAGGTTTATAACCATTTAAACTAATGGAATATGGAAGAAATGATGCTGTATAAATAGTATGATCACATTCTGAGGCTAGGTCATAAAACGTGATGAGGTTTCTGCTTTGTTTCTTTCAACACCATACTTGGAGCCTTGAGTCACTGTGTTAAGAAGAAGAAATCTAGCTACACTGAGGCTGTCATATGTGAAGAAGCCAGGACATTTGCAAAAGCTACACAGGGGCCTGGTCTTTCAGTCACTGCCTAGCACTCAGCTGATTCTAGTCCCCAGCACTGCCTTTGAGTCTCTCCACACCCCAAGTGCTGGGGTAATTTGTTATGCAGCAACAGTACCTCGTATTTCATCACTTTAAATATTGTGTAATAGGCAAGATACATGTGGACCATGTTTAGCCCATAAGCAGGCAGTTATGTTTTTTGTGTGCAGGATGTAATTAATCGATCAGTCTTTCACAGCGATTATGGCTCTGTCCATTTCATGATTCAGTTCTGTTTTGCTTTTTTATCAATGTTTTTGGTATATTTGATCAGTTTATTAATGTAAAACACTTTTCTGTCCCTGTAGTGCTTTTCATGTGTTGAGTTCTATTTTGTATACTGTTAGGATTGATACTTCTTTCATTCTCCTTGTCAATACTGCCTTGACTTTCATTCTTCCTAATATTTAAACTGTCTTTTTACGTTGTATTTGATTTAAATTCTTAAAGATATTCTGAAAATATCTTCTGGTAAGTTAAAGCCATCTACTTATACTGATTGATCTCTTCCTACAATCTTTCTTTTTTGTTTTTTTTAAAGTTTATTTTGAGAGAGTGTGCAACTGAGCAAGGGAAGGGCAGAGAGAGGGAGAGAGAACCCGAAGCGGCTCCACACTGTCAGCACAGAGCTCAACGCGGGACCTGATGTCATAAACCACAAGATCATGACCTGAGACAAAATCAAGAGTCCAATGCTTAAGTGACCAAGCCACACAGGTACCCCATCTTCCTTTTTTTAAATGCTTTGTTATTTTTTCCCATTGTTTCCCCTTTAGAAACATTGACTATGTTAGGTTTTTTTTCCTCTAATGTACCGCAAACCATATATTCTAATTACATCCTTTTAGAATAAAAGTTATGTTTTTTGGTTTCAGGACCCCTTTACACACCTAAAG